GACCCCTCAATTGCAAGATTTGATGAAGATTTGCAAAACCCCCAATTTTGGATCCAATTTCGAATTTTAGGGTTTTTTCGAGTAGAAAAATTCAGATTCGAGAAGTTACAGGCCAAATTAGACAAAATGGTTTGGATATTATTGATCCTCGTCTCAAGACGAAGAGAATGACATTGGTCCCGCCGGAATCGGAAAAAGTTCATTTTCCGACGACTTTGACCGGCGGGCGGCGGCGGGGCGTGGAAGAAAAGAAAAGAAGAAATGGGGTCAAATTGAAAATTTTAAAATATATAAAATTCGAATTTGGCCCTAATGACCGGAAGTTAACCTAGAAACGGACTAATGGCTCATTAGTGAAAGGATTGTGTAAGTTCAGGAATTTTTGTGAAAGGATTTGAAGTTCAGGTACCACTTCGAAATTCCAGCTAAAGTTCAGGTACCATTTGTGAAATTTACTCCCAATAAAGGATTTTAATATGTCCCTTACATGTAAATATGTCCACTTTTATTCTTTCATGTTAAACCATATGTTTTTTTTCTATAATAGCTCTAAATTTGTAACCTATTTGTTAACAAAGCTTTGATATTAAGAAATCAACTCAATCCAAATTTTAAAATTGGTATAAAAATTATAAAACAAAGTTACATATTTAAAAACTACATCAAAAATCTTTAAAATAATAGGTGAATACAATATTTTGTTTCATCAAATGATTGATAAAAACATGCAAATAAGCACAAGTTATCGAATATATGAAAACATGCAAATTAAAAAAACGATTCAAATTTGTGATCTTAACATAAAAAAGTACTTCCTCTGTCCCTATTTTAATTACAAAATGGGAATTACGATGTAAAATCTCACAATTTTGAAATTATTTTATTTATAATTTGGTATATGAATGAGAAATAAAAGTTATTTATTAAAAAAACTACATCCAAAGTTTTAAAAAACAAGATGTTACAAGAATATTTTATTTTATCAAATAATTAATGAAAACATATCATACAAATAAACAAAAATTATCGAGTGGAGAAAGAAAATAAAATCGTAATCAAAAAGAGGATGGGGGAGTAGAACATATATATCGTACGAGCTTGATATTGAATGCTTTAAAATCAAAGATGTATTACAATTTGAGATAAATTCAAATTTAGGGGTGTATTCAACTGAGATTTTATAGGAATTTTTTGGAACTTAAAAGTCTGTGGATATTCAACAAGGAGATTTAAAAATCAATTACAATCTAATGGTATTCAATTAAGATTTTAAAATATTCATCTAAATTCAGTGGTATTGAAAATGTCATGGATTTTTAAAGAATTACATTGAAAATGGATTGTGAAGGATTTTGGGATCTAGTATAAATAGAAATCCATAGACAAATCTCTTCTTAACCCTATGGATTTTCAATTGTCCGTCTACCGTCATTCATCTGCTTGTCTACCAATTGCAACAATTTTCAATCGTTATTGGGTTTGATGCAAAGCTTCCATGCAAAATGCTTCTAAAAAATTTCTTCATATTGGCTAGATTTTACAAATCTTTTAAAATCATGATAATGAAATACATAAAAATCTATCTAAATCCATTGTTGAATTAAATGAATCCATAGATTTTACAAATCCATGGATTATAAATAATCTTACATAATCTTTTAAAAGTTGAATTGAATACACCCCCTTTAATTCTTTCAATTTTTTCCAACATCTTCTAATTTGTTCCTACTCTTTCTAGTTTCATACTTTCATCTAACTTCTCTTGATTCCGTTTAATATTAGTTTAAAAATTATTTGCGTGCTTTTTTAATAATAGTAATAATAATTTAATTATTATTAGTATTATTACTATTACTATTATTGAAATAATTCTTGAGCCACTAGCTACGAGTTGAAGGGTTTATTGGGGTGCATGGGTAAAAAATATCAATTTTTTGAACAGAATTAGAGCCCGTGTCTTCTAGAGCTAGCCACTCAAGGAAACTCTATATGTATTCCCTGCCACATAATTATACGACTCTGTATATTAATTGATGGTGTAAATATAGATAGGTGGGTTGACCGGGTTTGACCTGGACACACTCGACCCGTAATAAAATACACATAACAAGAACACAAAGTATAACCTAGACCGGGTAAATCTCCTCGGTCCGAATTATATTTCTTACTCTATCTCAAGAGTAAACTTTTAGTGAGAGAAAAATTGGATCCCCTCCTCTATCCATAATCATCATATTTATAGAGGAGGATTTGTGACCTTCCCCTGTTCATCCATGGACAAAATAGGAAACCCGGAGGAAGGTCACTGTGCATAATCTAATCACTATTCAATCATAGACTTGCTACTAATACAACCAAGAAGCATTGTTCAATCAATGACTATAAGATGGATATTCTCAATCCAATCAACCCTGCAAAATGACAAACATCCCTGTATGCCTCGTGATGGATGAGCGGCGGGGTGGTCCCTCGATCTTTGATGTGGTTCGCCATACCTAAGAGACTGGACCAATGTTAGCGAAGGTGATATGACCGGTCACCTTTTCTCAAAGGTTACCCGGTCATTTCTTGAGCTCAACCCGTCTCTTTGGTCTTCCGGAATATCCTTCGTAATATAAGGCGACATTTTGGCTATCGCCCAAAATGTGACCGGTCACTTTTTGAGGAAAGTGAACGGTCAACTTTTGACCCGTCTCGATCGAAGAGTTATTCTCATTCTGTAATCATGGAAAGTGACTGGTCAACTTTTGACTTGTCCCTTTCGGAAATTCGGACCGGGTATAAGGATATACCCATCATTAATCAAAGTTGCCAATTCATTAAAACACTAGTAATAAATATGCAACAAATGACTTGTTAAAAGACTACCAAATAGATTCATCCAGGGCCGGTCCGAAGAAAAAATAGGCCCGGTGCGAAAACAAAAAGTTGGCCTCTATTGACATATAGATTTTTTAGAGGATTCTAAAATCTCAAATCGGCTAAGTTGCTAAAGTGCTAAAGCATTTGAAGACTTTGAAACAATTAGCAAAAAAAAAATTTTAAAAGAAGAAAAATTAAAAAAACTGTTTTTTATCATATTATAATTTATTAATCAATGTAATTAAAAATCAAATTTCATAAAACTATTCAACTATAGAAGAAGAACACATAGATCGCATATTTAAAAACTAAAAATAAAAAAATAAAATTAGGGATTTGATCATTAAAATCAATAAATTAAAATAAACCATATGTTCATACAATCATACCTGAAGACTGAAGTGAAATTAGTGGATGGAGAAGTGCTGGACGGCATAGATGCGAGGCGACGACGCAGCGCAAATCTTCTTCTTCCTCTGTCTTCGACCTTCCGCCTTTGTTCTTCACTTCTTCTGCTTCTCTGTGCGGCAATGTGAGGCGAAGGCGTAGATGTGAAGAGTTGCTCCATATTTTTTTTCCATTTTGGGCTAATTATTTCATACTAAAATACCACTATCTTTAAAAAATAATTGGGCCCTCGTTTTTTTGGGCCCTGTGCGGTTGAACATCCTGCACAGGCCCAAGGCCCGCCCCTGAATTCATCCCAAAATTTCGTGAGTCGGAATCTCAAATATTATAGGAATGAATCTCTCAAAAAATATGATTAATGTTAAACTATTTTACTCAAAAACTCGTTGTATGGATATATTTGACATTAACTAATGGGATTAAAATCATATACTCGTTATTTAAATATTGAAGGTGAAAATATTAACATACTTTTTATTTTTACTTCTTTTAGTGGAGTGAGTTGTATATTTCTACATATTTTTATCTTTATAAATTTGTGTGTGTGTGTGTGTGTGTATGTATATATATATGTATGTCTTATGCAGGGCCGGTCCTGAAAATTCACTGGCCTGGGCCAAAACTAAAAAAATTCTAAAAATCTTATCCTTATGGTCTAACAAATTAACACACGTAAACAAATTATATTTAAATAATAATTAATGCAATATTATTAGAAGAAAAAATAAATTAATATATCCTAAATTCATATCAATTCGTCAATTTTTCTAATTTCCTTTTTCAGCTTTAATTTTTTTGTATATCATAAATTCATATCAATTTGTCAATTTTTCAGTTTTATTTTTTTAGTTTTTAGTTTTTTATATATAAAATTATAGATATATCATAAATTCAAATCAATTCACCACAATCAGATAAAGAACATATAGATTCATTAATTCATTCTATTTCCTAGCAATTAGAAAAGATTTCAAATTAAAAATTAATAATTAACCCTAGATTATAAATATAAAAAATGAAAAAATGAAAGAAAAAAATTACAAAATCGGAAAGCTATATATGCGGAATACCCGGAGGCTGGTGGCTCGGCGTCCGGCGGCGTCTCTCCAGTGGCAGTTTTCTGATTCGGCATCTGGACTCAGTCGACCTCGCCCTGGGTTTCTCGCGACATGCGTTATTATTTCTTCTTTGTGTAGGATCGGAACTAAAGAGACGGGTCTTGACATATTGGGCTATGGGTTTCTTATATACATATATTATTTAAAAAAATTGGGCCTCTAAAATTCATGGGCCCGGCTCGGACGGACTGTTTGTCCTCCTATTGGGCCAGTTCTGAGGTAACTATAATATTTTGTTTCATCAAATGATTGATAAAGACATGTAAATAAGCACAAATTATCGAATATACGAAAACAT